TCTTTAATTCAAATATAGAACTATATAAAGCTATTTTCTATTTATATGTATATATACGAAATATAGGAACTACGAAGCCACATTATACGCATTAAAAATGAAACAATCAATTACAATCCATTCAGACAAAAACTATCAACTATAATTCATTAAAATGATTAAAATCAAAATAATCGATTAAATTTGATTAAAAGTCAAGAAATCTGATTAAAGTCTGGTTAATACTGTGTCATTGTAATCGATTTTCAGTCACAAAGAAATCGATTACAATCAGGTTTTTCGTTCTTCCTTTACATGGATATTTGTTATATTTGAATTTGAAATATAAATGTCAATAAAGAGAAACATCAAAAATAGACTAAGAAATATTTGACTTACGCTTATAATCTAAGTTTGATGCGTGTCTGATTAAAAGAGCCCCATTTCATCTTTTTGTCTTTTTGTAAGTTATGAGTATTTTGTTAGGTTCATTAACAAAACCTTGCCCATTCTGCCCATCGTTTTTTCTGACACAAGCGAAGTTTGCCCATTGGTCTAAAAATCCTGGCTGCACCACTGTAGGGATTAGGTTGGATTTAGCTGCAACGATGATCAACTAATGAAAGTGTAACCCTGATCCATCACTGTCTAGCGAATATCTGGACTGTAGAAGGTTAGCTACGCTGCAATTTTCCTTCATTTACTAGGTTGGAAATAATATTTGATCAGAGGTACTGGTGCCCGAACATGGATTTTTCAAATACTTGCCTAATAGATTTTTATAAGACCAAAGTGGTCCTCATAATTCAGCAGCCATTATTGAAAGTGTCTAAAAGAAAATCTACCTGATACTTCAAGTAAATGAATATTTTTTTCTTATCGTTGAAAGACTATCTAAATTTATCTTTGCATGGCACATAGTGACCTATTGGAAAAAACCGTACACAGAAAGATTTAAATTACGAAAATCTTAATCTATTTTTTCGGCTAAATCATCTCTTTCACGTTCCACATTATCCAACTTGATTTACAATGCTTTCTTGTCTTCTTCCATTTTAGCACGACGAAATCTTCTCAAAAATTTGATCGAATGATTCCCAACTGCTCAAAATGTCGACTGTTGTATCTGACTCTCTTTCTCACGAGAATTGATTACTTAATTTACGTTTTAATCAGATTAAACAAAATTATTATGAATCATTGTATTTGAGTATTTGATTTATGACAAAAGTTCCAGCGTTAAATCAAAATAATCTGATACAATTATTATTACAAAAAATATCAAGCTTCTTCTTTTAAATATAGTAACGTTCGTTTTTCTTCTCATTTTGATTTAACTTTGCTTTCAATCGTAATTTTTCTTCTTTTGTAAGTTGCTTTTGTGCTGATGTTCCTGATGCAGAGCCCTGATATGAGTGTTTCAATATTTCCATAAATAACACAAAACGTGTCAGTGGAATCAACTTTTGGTTTTTTTTTTCATTAATTTTCATCAAAGCACATTTAAATATTATTCTATTTAAATTTGGATCTGATCGATTGTTGAAATAAGAATTGAGTGCAGCAGATTGATTTGTATGATAGACATATAAGTTGAGCTGGTTTCAATTGATTTATACACCCACACCCACACCCACATCCACACCAACACCTTTACTCCTCCTACTCCTGCTAAAGAAGTTTCTTTTTTTGGTATCTTTCCCATTTTTGTCATCGGATCGTATCAGCATGGTGAAAACCAAATTTCTTTTCTACTTACAACAAAGATGAGTCATGGACATAAATTTCTGTCATTCTTTTTTTCTTTCTTTTCTCTGGAAGATATCAAGTATACGCAATCTTACGTCATGTGTCTCTCTCTCTCTCTTTTGAAAGGTAAATCAGTTTTTACTATATCGCTTGCAATCCCATGACACAAAAGGGGAAATTTCTGAAAAAAAAAGAATCAAACTTCTGTAATATAAAAAAAGCAAGCTGTCTCAGCTACAACTTAGGTTCTGACTAAAACATTAAATCTCTTCTTCTTCTTACTGAATCGTTATTTACAAAAAAAACAAGTGTGCAATATAATAGATTATCTTTCCACGCTTTATTTTACTTGTTGCTCTTCTAAAAATATTCACAACTGAAAATATGTCAAAATTCATTATAAATTTCATATTTCTTGTATTAATTGCCAGTCTATTACCTGTAACAACCCTAGCTGGACCATTAGCTTATGTTGCTTGTATGGCAGCGTGTATGGCAGGAACGTTCATACTTGGATCACCTGCCTGTGCTGTTATGTGTGCATCAGCATTGGCAGTACCAACACCATAAGAGACTAGTATCATCTTTGTTATAATGTAAATTAAAATAATCCTGAAAACAGAGTCAACATGCAATCAAACACAAGTTCAATTGATTAATCTCAATCGTTGTTTCTCAATAATTGACTTTATGTCTATGATAATATTCAAGAATTGTCACTAAATTGAATCCTTTTTTTTTAAATAAATAATAGTTTAAATTCAAAATTTTGTTTGTCGACGAGTTTCGTTACGTTTATCAAGAGGCGTTCCATGAGAAAAAACCGAAGATTTTTGGATATTGAAAAATATAGAGTTTTACAGATTTCGAGTTTGGCCCCATCAGAAGTTAGGCCTTTATATACTATAGATCTAAAAAAGTAACAAAAATTTATCTAATGTTTTCTGTGAATTCAGCCCTTGAAATGTGTTCACTGTTCAAATTAAGTTATATACCCATTGATGAAGTTTGAGTTGCTCTGCAATACTGTACATATAACATTTCTCTGTAATCTAAATTGTGAAGCGAAAAAGTCAAAATATCTTGGTTTTTTTCAGCATATAAAACTTCTTGCATTTTTTCAGTATTTTCGTCAAATGTTTGGCTCAGAAATCGATATCCAGAAACAAGTTTATTGGATGTTGTAGTCTATTTAATACTGCATCAAATCATATAATGAATATTGTTTCAAAATATTCAGGTGCCGAGACACTCCATCTTGAATATCGACTGTTGACACCATATTTCATCTTGTTGAAATATCAGATCTTACTCTGATTTGTAAATGTTTTTTTCTTCACAATATGTTCTAACATATCCACAATTCTTGTTTTCTTTTCTTTTTCCTTCTGAACACTGCAAAAACGACATGTCTTCCATATTTTTGCAATATTCAGAACAAAAAAGAAAACAAAACAAAACAAGAATTGGGTATATCTTAAATCATAAGTAATGATAATTATGATGATGTTATCATATCACTTATTAACTACTTTTCAACATTCTTTCTTGACTCATCTTTATCGGTAATTGTCCATGCAATAAAATACTGTTGAATGTATTTGAATGCCCATATTCAATTTTTTTTTCAATCATAAATCGTAAAATTAATTTCCAAAAATTACGAAATAGATGAAGTTACACGCTTGCAATAGAGATGAGTGCTTCATAAATAAAATGTGCCCTATATATACAACAGTACTACAATTATTAATCAAAATAAAAAATAAATAATCGATTCACATTTTGAATATTATCATAGTGATGAAATAACTGGCATGAATTTAATCCAACCGTTTTCTTGATACGTTAAGTTAATGTAAATTCACTCGACTAATGTCTGTTGATTGATCGAATAATCTATATGAGCAAAATGATCTCGTATTTGAAGAATAAATAATAAGAGTTATGGTAATTCTTTTGAACTTTTCTGTTTCTCAAAATATCAATTTTTTTTGTTGAATGATAATCAAAACAAAGTCGTCCGAATAATTTGTTGTTGCTGCTGTATATGAAGAAGAAAACAGGAGCTACTCGATTACCTTAGTACATTTATCATTGAGTAGTTATAACAGATGTTGGTTTTTTTGTTGAATACTTATACTTGTAGATATTTAGAACTAATCGTGAAATGTGTAATGAACTATTTAACTACTTTCTATGAGTTAGTAAACGATGAGCAGTGTCCGACACTAGGGATGGAGTACGAAAAAAAATTTTGAATTTCGTAGTTGATTTGCAGTTCGAATATTTTGCAGATACAAAAGGCATTGAAAGAAAGAAAAAAAGGATTGAGATATTGATTTTCTCAATAGGAAGAGAAAAGTGGTCGATACTAGAGTCCGAATCTGTGCTCAAGTCACAAAAATTTGACCCATGTCGGACACTAACAATGAGTACGGAAGCGATAAGCACCCAAAAGTTAAGCACACAAAAAAGAGTGATAGTAAAGAGCATGGGTGCATGTGTTGGGTGGACGTAGAAGTACGGATAGGAATGAAGAAAAGACTAACACGTATATACATTCACTGGTCTTTTAATAGACATTATATTTACCTTTATTTTTTTATGTGCTTTGCTTTTCAATGCTGAAGTTTCCTTGTGATTAAGTATTTGTTTGTACTCATTGTTTCAGTTTCCATTTGCTATCCATAAGAAAATACCGTTACTTAGATTTTCTTTTGCGATTTACAAAATTTCATCAAACATAGACATAGTCTAGAAAGATAAACTCTTAGACTGATTCTTACTTTTCTTATGTTTCATATAGATATAAATACTGAAACTTACAGTAAGAATCCAACAAAATTAATCTAGAACGGTACTTCATAATTAAATGAAATTGTTATTTCATTTTTTCTATCTTTCTGTGTAACTATGTTGTTTTCGAGAACATGTTACAGCTATAGTTCAAGTATTGGGAGTAACTGAAATTTCTTTTTTCAAAATATTTCATATCTTATACTTACCGATGTGATAAAGTTTTTCTCAAAATTGAATTTTTTTTCAATACTGAACACAAATATGCTGATTTCGATTTTTATATTCAAAATTTCGATTAAATGATATCTAGTTTATTTTTTATGGATGTTAATTGTAGTAAAATTCATCAAAAGATTTCTATCATTATATACATGCTTGTAATATTAGAAAATAAATATAATCTTATCAATATTTTCTTCTTATTGTCGTTGTGAATAAGTATTAAATAAATGTTAAATCTCTACTAAGTATTTACTTAAAAGACTTTTAGGAGAAAAAAAAAA